AGCAAAGAGTAAAAATGGACAACAAGCAAGAGCAAAAAATTGCTAAGCAGCAGTATTTGGTCAAGAGAAAGTAAGAATAATAAAAAGAATAATTTAAATACACCAGAACAAAATAAACCCTTTCAGTGGTGAACCTCGGACACTAATACATGTTTAAGTTAAAAACCAGTATACAGGACAGAACATTTAAGTCATTTTTGTATCATATTTTGAAACAAGCACTAGGATTTACTCACATTTTATAGCAGCAATGAAATATTTTTTGTTCCATTAGTAGCTAATGAAACTAGGAGGGATGTAATATAGTAACTATCCAAGCATTTTAAAGTTAGCAAGATGACAGCTTTCAGCAAAGCAGTTGTTAGCTGGTTTTTTAAAGATCTTTCTGGGTTTTGTCACTAGGAAAGTTCCCAAAGACCAGAGGCTTTTTCATCTGGTCTCATTAGAGATTTTTTCCCCATCTGGAAAAGTGTTAGAAGAGAACCTCGTTAACTAAGCTGTGGGTCAGATCATAACCTGAGTGAGGTAACAGGATTGTTGATACAGGTTGTTAGAGTACTGAAGGAGCTAGCGGATGTTATGACAGGACCCCTCTTGATCGTCTACCGAAGGTCTTGGAAGTCTAGTGAATCCCTACTGACTGGAAGCCAGCGAATGTTATTCCAGTGTATAAAAAGGGCATGAGGGAAGACCCGGGGAACTACAGGCCTGTTAGTCTAACCTCAGTTCGTTGAAAAATTACGGAGGATACTATTGAAAGGCATTTAAAGCATACTGCAATCATCAGGCATACTCAACTGAAATAGTCTATTCTAAAATGGAAGTGTGAACATAATGAATGCTAAATCAGCATGTATTGTCTGACAAACAGGTCATAATTTTCTTTGTTATGTGTGCTTGATAACAGTAATACTGTTGATCCGACTTGAGGAAATTTTCCTGACGGGCATTTGTCTCAGTTCTATACAACATTGAAAAAAATAATGCTGTGCCTAATCAGTGTCACCCATATTAATTAGATTACAAATTGCATAACAGGTACAATGGAGATCTTGTACAACGGTAAATTTACAGGAGATAGGGCCACTTCCACTATGTACTCACAAAGACCAGTTTTCAATGCAGTAACAATTTTTTAAATTATTATTTTCTAAAAAAGTATTCATTAGCATATTGTATAACCATCTTGGGTATCTATGTAGTGAAAATTATGTGAAAATTGGAATAAGTTCAAGGAAAAACTTGTAAAGATGAGTAAGTAGCAAAACTACTTGTCACAATAGATTTAAGCATTTTGTGTCACACTTCTTAAATCAAGACTGGATTTTTATTTAAGAAAAATAGCCCAAAACTGAAAAAAATAGATTGTAAGAACAATAGTTCATCCTGACATTAAAATTGCTGCCTTTAAAAAATGTGAAGGCAGGCATGAAAATGTTAAAGGAATCATATTTGGAAGTCCTCCAACAAATATTAAGGCCTCTTGTATGTCAGCTCCAATGGATGATCCTTAATCTAATACTTCACCATTTGTTATAATTTACCACAATAAACACAGAAATGCTAGAAGACCCTATAAGGAGCAACCTTAAACACTTGAATGAAACACATAATGTAGAACTTTAGAATAAAAGTTCTGTCATTCTTGATGCTGTATGTTTTCTGGCAAACAGAAGCAGTCATAACCGATTACAGTTTCAAGCAATATGAAGAATGGACTTTTGGCATAGGAGTCACAAAGGCAAGAGGAAGGAAAGGTCGTTATTTATTTTTGGTTCAGAAAAATCTGTGGTGGCTGTGGAACAGGAATGTTAATTAATGAAAAATGTACTGCTAGCTGATTATTTTGAAATATGTCAACAAGTAGGACAAGTATTTGAGTATCTGGAGCCCTCCAAGTCACAGGATTCCAGATGAGGGGCATACGTAATTTTAATTTGCAGAATCACACAAAATTCAGGTTACACATTACCTTACAAATGCAATAGGCATAGTATCTTTCAAAGCCCAGTATCTCACCAGAGAGGGTGTCTTTACTACATATAGCATAGCCACCCCCTTTGGGGTTTCTAGTGCCTGCAGTAGTGTAGGCTGGAATACTCTCTATTTAGGAGTTAAAAGGACTGCCATTTTTCTTAGCACTGTGTGAACCTCAAAGTAGAGACAGGCTACAGCCTTGCATTTTGTCTTAATTTTCTTGTCTAGGAGCCAGGCCCACAGCAGTCTACCCAAAAGGAGCATCTACTTTCATAAGAGATTTGACAAAAAGTGATTTTGAAAACGTGACTAGTCTCAATGCTTTGCATGTAATTTACAGTTATTCCTGGTCCTGGCAGAATTGAATTGCCAATTAAATTACAGCCAATTTTTGTCAGAGTTTCCTCCGTTCGGCAGTGTACAACTCACTTGATGGTGGCACACACACTTTCTAGAATCTCTTTTTCCATCAGGAGGGATCCTGAAAGGAATTCCTGCTTGGACGCTTACAACAAGACAGCCTGACCAGGATTTTTTGGAAGGCATCTCTGACAGGTGAAGGATGTCCAGATATTGCTTCTTCTAGAGTACTTCTGAAAAATATGCTGGTAGCCTGGAGAGAAGTTAGGCATGGCTGTAAACAGCATTTATTCATGTAACTGCTCTGACACAGACATGAGTAATACAAGGACCCCAAACAACTTTACTCACTTGCCTCAATTTTGATGCTTTATAAGGCCATCTAGGGGTGGAAAGGTTGTTCAGTCTTAATATTTTATTAGTCAAAGCATCTTTTATTGTGAATGCCAGGAAAGCTGCTGGTTACTTTTTTAATGGATTTTTCATATCTGAGTGTTAAGATATGCAGCTGTCAGGAGGCAGCATACACTGCTTCTTAAAGAAATAACTAGGAGTTGTAGACACTTTTCCAGTGCAATCCATGCAGTCATTCCCTTGTCAAGACATGGAATATAGGATCCACCTCTTGGATGGTAATTCAAGTAAGACTGCGTTTATAAAGTTTGCATAAACTATAAAGTTTGCATAAACTATACATTTTCAGGTTAGTCTGTGGGCAACTAAGGAAAGCCAGTGATACACATTTTAGGCATGGATTCCTCCAGAGTTTAGTGCAGTTTAGTGTTAGTCTTCTGTTTGGATCACCTGATAATGAAGCACTGTGATAACGAATTGCTTCTTTGCACTCTGTGCTTCACACAGAAGTACTTGGTGAGCACTCAAAGGGGGTAATTTTAAATCTGTTTATATGCCACAGTTCTGAGAAGGAAGCAGGACTTTCACCTGCAAGGCAGTTACTGTGAGTAAGACCAAAATTCCAGCTCTTAGGAAATAAAAATTGTGGGCTTTTATGGTGAGGATTTATGTTGGTTATTTTCTTTGTTTCTCACTTTCTTAAGTGCAAAATGAAAAAATGCAAAACCAAAAGAACAAGTTCATTTTGTTAGTCAAAAATCTCAAGCCCATCTCAATGGTTGTAGATCCAAACTTCTGCATAGTGTCAGTGCTTTTCAGTCAGATATCATGAGAGGACATTCAAGAATTTAAAAAGTAACTCCTGTTTTGGCATGCTGCTAAGATGGAATAGATAAAGGTACGAACTCAGAAAAGCACCTAAAATTAATGTTTTCCTGCTCTTGGGACAAAAAGATAAGGCACATGATAAACCCATTGTACAGACCTCCTCTCTGCTTACTCCTGGCAAAACATTAGCACCAGAGCCATCTTCTTCTTTTAAGATTTTCTGTGTGACAGTGGTAGACTCATTGTTGCCTTTTCCAGTTTCCATGACAGCTGAATCTAAATAAAATAGTCATTTATTAATGAGAGACAGAGCAAAATAAAATCTGCCCACAGGTATTTATCAGAGCACAGATGCTGCAAGTTGCATGACAAAAGAAATTATTTATATTATGAGAAACATACATCCCAAAGATTAGTATTAGCCCTTTTATAACTCTGAAAATTTTAAAAAGAAAGAAAAAAAAAAGAAAAGTGAGAATAAAATTGTAAAACAAATGTTTATTTTAAGAACAAAGACTGTATTGCATCATCTTCTTTGCCTCAAGCTCTAGTCTAATGGTTGCCTATTTTTCATCTATATAACATAAAAAATAAGAGGTACGTACAACAGGTGCTATCTGAAGTATGTATGAAATTTAAATAGGAACATTCTCTTTGGACTTATTAAGATAACTAACTTTACTTTTTGTTTTCTAGGGGTGCACTGAAATTGTCTTATTAGTGGAGGACTGGATTCCTCGGTGCATTATGCCCTGCTCTTATTACTTTGCTGCCTACACTTGCATCCAAAACACCCCATTGGTGCACTAGGCAGATTCACAACCTTTGCATAAGTAGGATATAGTTGTTTATTCAGTGGTGGTATTCAGTTTTACATGAAAGACTGTGCTTCACTATAACAGAAGGTCATCAGATTAAATACTCATCTTAAATTCCTTTTAAAGGTGCCACATGGCTTTAGAGCCACTAGCACTATTTGCAGAGGTATGTCTCAAGAAGTGCCATGCTTCTCACTGAGCTGAGCAGAATGAAGAGGATTTTTCTCCTTTCATTCCCTTTGCCTAACACTTGCACTTTACCGGAGTGTTGTAGAGTATCACAGCAGCAGCTCCTTAGGTCAGCTTCTTCATTTTATCCAATTTCTATTTCATTTTAAAATATAAACCACAGTTCTGTGACTGAAACTTTCACGTTATAGAAGGGTAAATCTGTTCTCTGTATGTTTAACAACGACTGAGATAAGCACCTATATTGAGTGAAAAGTGAGAGACCTGTTGAACGGTGGCTGTAGTTGCTACCACTTACCTTTGCTGCTATTAACAAATTGCAGCCTAACAGTCTGCAGTTTCAAAGACCAAATGTTTGATGTGCCAATTCCTTTCTAACACACAGGATGTCCAAAACCGTAGGATTTTCCATTCCTGGCAGCACCCAAAATATGACAACGGCTTTTCATACACAGGGAAATGACAGACTCAGACCTAGAGAACATAAATGACCCCACCCCCCCAAAAAAAAGAGACAGTGCCTTGTTCTTTAAGTTTAGCTGCTTCAGAGGTTTCTTCTGATCTGTGATTTCCGGAGAAATAATTTTCTTCCAAATAAGACAATACAGTTGGGGGGGCTTCCACTGGCTCAGCCAATGTATCTTCAGGCTAAAAAAACCATAAAATCCCAAAGAACTGTTTAGAGAAAAGGCTTATCACATGTTTTAAAGCAAGAATCAGTAGATTACCTTCCTCAAAGCATAGTAATCAGAACTACCACATTTATGAAACAAAAACAGAAATCCAGATCTTTCCCACTTAATATCTTGCCAGTATCTGTCCTTACTCTTATGCTGCCCTTAGAAACATTAACTGTCATTGCGATCATAAAAACTGAAATTTATTAATGGCCAATATATACACCCTCTTTCATTGACGCTTTTAATTTATTTCACCTTCTTTTTCATTTTTCATGTTTACAGTACACATCTAGTTTCTGCTTATCAGCAGATGTCATACTAATTTGGTCAAGCTCTTGAGAAAAAATAGCACAATACCTTTGAACTTCATTCCTCCAACCCAAGTGATGTACACTTGACAAACCCATAGGGAGGGAGAAAAACACAAGGAATGTAAAGTTATCACTGCAGGTCTAAGAGCCTAGAGCTGGCTGGTACCCACCCTTCCCCATGCTGGCTGTGGGTGGGCAAGAGGTGGCCATTTTGATAACCTGGTATCAGCTGCATGCAGGAATGTAAAAAGCCTACTCCCTACTGGAATTAGAGACCTGGAGAAGTGCTGTCTCAGTGTAGTGAGGAGATTACTTCATGCAAACCTGCATTTGCAATTTAAATAAAATTTAAAAGCGATTATGTTGCCATGGTAACCTGGAGCAGACTTAATGGACCAAGCATCCTGGTCTTGAACCAGGTTAAGATGTGCAAAATGGCATAATAGGGCTTGCTGAAATAGTTCCTGAGTTGTCAGCAAAAGGAAGAGAGGTAACATCATTGGCATGATTTTTATCCCACTGGTTTTGTACCCTTATAATTGAGGAAAAGCTTCAGGATACTTCTTGTTATTAAGAAACATATTGAAAATAGGCTTTGGGGATCCATTTGAAGGGGAAAGGAAATCTTTTCCACAGTGGGCCGGATCTGATCCCCACTATAGCTGACAAAAGTACTTTCATTTGATTTCAGTTTTATTTACTCCACTTGAGAAAGAAACAAATGCATATTTCCTCTGCTCTTATTTCTCATAACTATACAACTTGTTCTTGACATTCTGTGTAGGAATATTTCAATTAATCTTTAGAGACCAATAAACCTTTTTATGCAGCCTGTTTATCTGAACCATAGTAAACTTACAGTGTTAAGCTAGTCATGTATTACAGGGTTTTGTGTTTTAAAATCCTTAATAAGACTGAGTCTTGGCTACTTTAAGAAAGGAGGACCAATTTTTCCCTTTAAAAGCAATGATGTCCAGTGAGTTCCCTCTTCTGATGCAGAATAAGAAATACTTCAGATGAACGGTAGAAAATAATTCACACAATTCAGAATGTGCTCAATTGTACAGTCTATAAAGCATTCCTGATGTTTATTTCTCACTGAGAAGATTAATAAAGCAACAGCAGGACAAAGATTTAAATGCTTCATTTTGAGAAGTAATAAAAAAAAGCTGTAAAATGGAAAAAAAAAACCCCACATAGTATTAGTAAATATCCCAAATCTAACTCTCTGCACTAGAAAACAATGGGAAAAATAGAGATATTTACTTGAAGATAGTAGAAAAACAACCCAAACCTCACACTATACTCATAAGAATGTAAACTTGATAGATAATAGTGATTACCTGCCTGATAGAATTATAAGAATTAGGATAATGAAAAAAGTATGTTTGTAATTTAGTGAAGTGATTGGAAAAAAAACCCCAACAAAACCTCTTGAAATAATTCCAGTCAGTTTAGACATGAAGACATATCTGTGGAATAAAGAAGTAGTACCTAATAACCACATGCAAAGGTTAGTGATCAACATCAGCCAATGGAGTTGAAAGGATGTGTCTAGTAAAAGAATGGTAAGGTGGATATCCTCTACTTGTCCACATGCACTCCCTGTGCACAAAGGTAATGGAGAAATGGGTTAGGAAATTATAGGTGGGCATTTTCGTATCTTCTCCTGCCCCACAGAAAATAAAGCAGCATGCCACTACATGGGGACTGCCTACAGCAGTCTTCCTTACAGAGCTATATTAGTATATTTGTACATATATACAGAGCAGTATTTGTATAGGTACAGCGGCTCAGATGTCAGTGAAGCTCTAAGAAGCACTAAGTCCTTTTGCTTTCCCATCTGCAGCTCCTAATGAATAGAAGGACACTACAGAGAGGACAGCCAGTTACAATCTAGCTCCTGCAGGGGACTGAACTCAGAAGAACTACCTAAAACCGGAGTTATAGAAGGTTATTCCTGCCTCTCTGCGTAAAACCAGATTCAGCGTATTCACCTGCTGTCCTGCCCATTTCAAAACTTTCCCCCAGAAGAGAATGCTTCTTGGGAACCTTACAGATATTGTTTTCTCCAGATTTTCTGTCCTCTGGTGATAAGGAAAGACTTTCTGTGTCACCTAGACCATCTCTTTGTAGTTTAGGCTTCTCCTTTGACAGTTCTTAGCACCCATACATACACCCCAATTCAGACACTGAAGATTCTCCTCTCTCAGGAAAGGTTCAGAACTTATAGAAAGCCCTCAATAACGGGAGAGAGGTCTGACATGGGTGCAACAAGCACTGGGATGTTAATCACTTCCTTTGAGATGATAGGAGAAAGAGATATTCCATAGTTCAATCTACATCCTCTGTTTCTTCATTATGTGCTGTGTTTTTTCTTATGTATGCCTTCTATCAACACTTGTTTTAGCATTCCTTAACTGGGAACACAATGGCTTCCACATTTTCTGGGAGACAACTGTGCGGCCTAAGAACTAAGCGCTTAAGCTGTACACATGATTTTCAAGGAACATGGTAGGCACCACTTTGCCCAGCCTGTTAGGAAATAGAAAGGGTGTCACTGAAGGATTCACACTGTTGAGGACAAGCCTTCATTCTGGGCCTCTGTAAGAGCCCAGCAGGTCTTCCCAGGCTCTCTGCTCTCTGCTCTCTGCCTTTTGTGTTCAGGATGGTGTTCAGAATGTAAGAATGGAATTTCTTGAACGCAATCTCTGCCACCACAGGCACAACGGCAAGATAAAGCTTCTGTAAATGTGACTTAGGATTCACTCCCTTGGGAAAGAGCAACTTCACTCTAACTTTTTCCATGATGCACTTCATTCTCTTGCGCTAATGATAAATTTTCTTTGGTATTCTGTCCACTCTATGTCCAGCCACAGGGGACTTGAAAAGACATAGAGAAAAAATGGCCCTCAACCCATGTCACTGAGTCAAGATTCAAACAGGCTGCATGGGCACATGGAAGAAATTTTTGTTGGGAGGAACCTCTCAAGGTCATGTAAGTAGACCACTCATGTAAGTAGATCAGCTCGGCCATGACTTTGTCTAACCAAATCTTGAAAACTTCTAAGAACAGAGATTTGATATCCTCTTTCAGTGACCTGTTCCAGTGCTGCACTATTATCCTATTGAAGAGAGTTTTCCTGAAATCCAGCTTGAACCTCCCCAAAAGTTGTACAACTTGCAACTTTTGTTGTCTGTCACTACTGAGACAAGTCTGGTTCCATGCTCGTTTGTGTCAATATGTATAGAAGTGTGTGTGTCACTTCTGTAAAGACCGCAGATTAAACAATGAGGGACTAGGTTATTGAAAGGTAAAATCTGTTAGTGGATTTTATATTTTACTCTGCATGAAGAAACAAGAACAAATACAGAATAACAAATACTAATATGCAATCCAGAACATACTTGAGAATCCCCATAAAAAGAATTTAGAATTTTTTACATTTCTTGTGTTCAATGTATGGATAATAAAAAATTAGTTTAAAAATGGCAAACCTGATTGCCTTATGTGATAAAATGACTGGATTTGTGGATGAGGACAAAGCAGTGGATGTCATCCACCTTGATTTTAGCAAGGTTTCAACACTGTCTCCCACGATATTCTTGTATCCAAGCTAGGACATTACAGTCTGGATGGGAGAGCAACATGATGAGTAAAAAAATAGTTGGATGATTGAACTGAGAGCATAGTGTTTAATGGGACTGTCCTGGTTTCAGCTGGGATAGAGTTAATTTTCTTTCTACTAGCTGGTACAATGCTGTGGTTTGGATTTAGGATGAGAATAATGCTGACAACACACCAATGTTTTAGTGGTTGCTAAGTAGTGCTTACACTAGCCAAGGACTTTTCAGCTTCCCATGCTCTACCGACTGAGAAGGCTGCAGGTGCACAAGAAGCTGGGAGGGGGCACAGCCAAACTGGCCAAAGGGATATTCCATACCATGTGACGTCATGCTCAGTAAAGAAACTGGGGGAAAGCTGGCCGGGGGGGCTGCTGCTCGGGGACTGGCTGGGCATCGGTCGGTGGGTGGTGAGCAATTGCATTGTGCATCACTTGCTTTATATATTCTTCTTCTTATTATTATTATTACAATTTTATTTTATTTCAGTTATTAAACTGTTTTAATCTCAACCAATGAGTTTTCTCACTTTTACTTTTCTGATTCTCTCCCCCATCCTACCGGGGGGCGGGGGAGTGAGCGAGCGGCTGTGTGGGGCTCAGTTGCTGACTGAGGTTAAACCACGATAAGGACACACTCATGGGTCCATCCTGGGATCTGTTCTGTTTAACATCTTTAGCAATGACCTGAGGAGGTAGCAGAGTGCTTGCTCATAAAGTTTGCAGATAATGCCAAAGTGGGAGCTGGAGGTGCATCAATTAATATGCTCAAGTGCAGGACTACCATCCAGAGGGACATGGACAGGCTGGTTCATGCCAACATGAACCTTATGAAACTCAGCAAGGACAAACACCTGGGAAGGAAGAACCCCTTGCAATGACACAGGCTGGGGACAGACAAACCAGGAAGCAGCTCTGCAGAGAAGGACCAGGGGATCTCAGTGGACAGCAAGCTTAACATGAACCAGTAGCATGCCCTGACAGCAAAGCAAGCTGTGTTAACAGGAACTCTGGCTACATGCTAGCAGGTCTAG